CTTTTTGCATGCTGGTAGTGAATAAATCTCGTTGTAAGTCTTGTTCGTTAATCAACTAATAACGCGATTTATAGCGCATCGACGACTTTTGGCGTAGCTATTAACCAACTAATAATTAAGAAAGTAAAGTGATCCGCCGTGCAACATTCAAAATTAAAATGTACGATTTATATTTAAAGGATTTCTGATATGATTATAGTAATAAAAGTAAATCATACAATAGAATATATTTTTATGATTTTTTGTTTCCGACGGATATTTTGAACAAACATATATAACTGATATTGTTTTACAAATGCATGTTTGTATTCTCACCTGAAGGCTTTTACTTCAGTTTAGCAAACATTTCCCACTAGTACTGTGTAAATACAATGTGTATTGTACTGTGACACTAAGTGACCACCTGTTGAATGCGTGGTTAAATTCAAGGTAATTAAAAGATTAGCATTCTGTAATTCTATTCTTTTGATCTTCACTCAGTGAATTTTAGCCAATACGGTTCACCGTTACAGGTGTGAACAACATTTCGTATGAATGATAAAAACATTAATTATTTGGGGAGGAATAAGGTGGCAAAATACCTAAATCGCCGTTATATACATGTATATCTTTTATATTTTGCGTAAGCTTAATTTTAAAATAGATAGGTGAGTATTTTGTTGTAACATCGAAATTCTGAATTACTTTCAATTAAATAATTATATAAATAAAAATGGCCCACGAAAACGAGCGTATAAACCAAACACTGTACTTACTTTTTCAAATTATCATGGGTATTAACCTTGAATATTTCAATGTTTAGAGAAAATTATCGCGGTTACATGGTTAATATAGCTTGGTCCGTCCACAGCGATCTACATTTACCTAATCGGGAATGCCCTTATTAAAATATTTAAAATCTCACAACGTATACATACTTTAGCTATTTGACCAACGATGTTTAAAAAAAATAACAGAATCAATCTAACGTCAACTTTCCTTTTTTGAATGGAGACAGACCGGCGGAATCAATTTTCAATGTGCTTTATATCTTGTACCTTTGCAAGACTTATCATTCATTCATAAACCTACTATATACCAGAGACATATATGTCAGTCTTAACTGACAAGAATACACCTAAAGCTGACAAGCAGTATATTCTTTAAGTTTCTGTGATGTAATACCAAGAAAGAAAAAAATCCCGAAATTAATTTGATACTTTGATACTCAATATTTTTCCTGGAAAAAATTCACATCCTCGTTTGGTCTGAAAATAAGATAAGAATTTGGTATACAGAACATGCAGAATTGTGAATGTCATAAAATCTTGTTATATCAGAAACCATTATAAATGTGAACCTGTATACGTAAGACCTCATGGGATGTCACCTAACCACATACAGGTAATATACAAGTAGCTCTGTTATACCCGGAAATGTCAAGGTAAATCACTATCGATACAGAATGTACCAATGCAAGGAAAATTCTGATGATTGTTGTGAAGCATGACCATTCATGATTTTAGAGGAGTCTTAGGTGGAAATTGCCGGTACGATTTAAATTCTGACTAGATTTTTTTCTCTCAATTTAAATCACTGAACTTGAAAAAAAAAAGAAACCTACTCCCAAGATCAGAATTCTTCATGTAAATTCATAAATACAACGTTCTTATTTTGTAACTTTCGATATACTTCACCTCCAACCACCGCCCCCTCCCAACCTGGGAACATTATATCTAACATTACAATGTTTGTGTACCTGCCCAAATAAAAAAAAAAAAGATGAAAAAAGAAAGTGATGAACGTTAAGTCACATCAGATTCAAATATTTATATGGTTGATTGTCGTTAACTAGAGATGTAAAGTTACATGTATCTGCGTTAACTTAGATTGACAGGAAAGTATATACTTGAAATAGATTTATGATGAATAATATGCAACTGCAGCACCCCTTTTTATCAAAGTGTACATGCATGTATTTTAATGACTGTCCGTTATTTCGATTAAGAATGACAATTGTACATGAAATTCTATAGTTGCCAGTGAGACTTTTTTTTACCAGATATGCGACTTTTCGTATTTATATTTTTTTATTACTCTCATTTAATATTTTATGCATAAGTGCAATATTAGGAATGGTTTATCCCCCCTCCCTTTTAAGCTTACTAAATAAATTAATCAACCCTCTAGCTGACCAGACGTTAATACATCTACTATCAGTCTATTCGGAGTGAAGTTTCTTTATTTCTCAAATAAGCTTTTTGGGGATCATTAGTGTACGTCCAGTGGCATATATATTACATGCATGTCGGAACAGGAAAATTGACATCAGGTACTACCGGTATAATAGAACCATGTTCACATTATTACATTATTATATATAATACACAACCATTGAGATGATGACGACTTTCTTAAACTGTTCAAAATAATCTAATGGAAATAAAAATCTGTGATTTTACTATGTGCATAACTTCGATGAACCAAAGCAAGTTAGATATAAATAAATAAAATAAATAAAATAAATAAAATAAACAAAATAAATAAAATAAATAAAATAATTATTTTATAATAGTGTCACATATTTGATCAAACAATATATATATACAACAATTCATAATAAAAACAGAGATCAAATATCCAGCCTTAGAATAGACTTATGAGACACTTAGAATTCGACCTGTATTTAAATCAGATTGGTTTTGGATGTTTCTCTCGTATATTCAATATACATGTATATATTCTAAATTGCGACTATCTATAGTTCCGTAACCTTCTATCTAGGCGTATAATCCAATGATCGACAAGTGCGTACATTTTGTTAAATCAATATTTGTACGTTTCAAAATGTCCATAATTATTGACAACGAGTAATTACTTACATTTTCCCAAATTTACGTTTGGAAAATATGTAAATATATTTTTATTTTATCAAATCTTTTTTTGGAATTATTTAGATTTTCATAAATATTCTTTACACCATGAATGTTATTTATAAACAAGCGTATGAGTTTAGTCATATATATAATGGCTATTATATCTATGGTTTAGTAAAGACTAGCATATCACTATCGGACACGCAAGACAAAGATGTATATTCACCTGATAGTTTCAAAATGGAAAGTTACAAGTTATCGGCCGTGTACACTTCTCAATACTCTCAGAGGTGAAGTGATGCACGAACTTGCTTTATGTAATTGTGTAATAAGAGTTTTAAAGCCCGACAGGAAATCGCTTGAATACCTGGACGTGTCAACTCACAATACCTCTGGGAACAATTCCTTTAGCCATGCTGGTGATCAGATAAGGGAAGGTCCGAATTTATTCAAATAAGATTATTACATATAAATGAATTATGAACACACTAGATTTTCGAAAACATTTTTACACGGAACACTTAATTTATCACTTTGAACTTTTTAACTAATTTCCATTAAAATTTCTTGTTTCAAAAACTTAGTAAAAAAAAAACAGTTTTAAAACGACAGACCATAGTACTAGTTATTCAAAAAAATTTATATATAATTACATTTTCCGTATCAAGTTAGTAAGGAAAGGTTGCATGCACAACCATGTCTATTATAATCTTTTTTGTGACCCGGGAAACTGTTTAGGCTTTCCTTGTCGGGTAAAACAACCGTACGCTTGACAAGATATCGACACTCAATTACGGCTACGTTAGGTTACTGCTTGTTTTGGTCCTTTGTGGTATATAGATATATCGTGGTTTCTATTCAGGGATGATGTCAAAATGGCCGCACGCGGAGAAGTGATACTCTAAATTTAAAATCGATGGTGATCTCTTATCTAGCAGAATTAAACTTTAATATTTATGAATTTGTGGTTTTTTATACATAATCAACATAATATCAATTTTTCATTTTTTTGCGAAGTATCCCTTTAATATTTTCCAAATATTGAATACGGCTTTTTATTATTTTGCGCATTAAATTAAACCAGACATCTAGTCCTAACGATTCCTGATAGACAAAGTATTATGTGCACTTCAGATTTATGTTTGTTTTTTCTTTATTCCTGTAACACACCAGATATTTAACTTTTACTCTTCTTTAATACTGGCTGAATTTGAAAATAGTCACTGTAGATCTCATTTGTTATTTCTATAAAGCTATGTATGATAATTATGTACATATGATAGAATAAATGCATGTTCTAAATTTTCCTTTCAAAAGTAATTGAAGTAATTAATTACATTTGCCAAGTAATTGGAAAGTAATTAATTACATTGTCAAAAAAAGTCAAATGTAATGTGTAATTTAATTGAAGATTTTGTAATTGTAATTGAATGTAATTAATTACTTTCAAAAGTAATTGACCCCATGTCTGACTAAGACCTATCCTGGATACACCACTGCATGTAGAGAACTTGGCATTCTTGTAACATGAGTCTGGTTAATATCCACAGTAAGACAGGATTTGATTATACTAGTACATTGATGATAGATATAGAACGTGATAGTAGATTGAAAAAACAACAAAAATGTTTGTATTATTACTGTATGTATAGTGCAATTGTTAGGCAATTTTTTACCTTATTTGTTCTTCTTTGCCTAAAATAATTTAGGATTTATTGATGTAAACCTGTTGCTGTGTACATTAGTACATAGGTGTAGTATGATTGACATCTAGAATTCCACTCAAACTGGGGTTTCGGCTGTCGTGAACTTGCAGTAAGGGTTAGGTGAAATTGTTTTGCTCAATGTTGCAGGCCTCACTGTGACTTTTAGGTGATATACAATGATAAAAGCACTGTTCCTTTGATTTTGGAATCTAAAAGTTTGTGTAGTGATTTTTTACCTATTTCATTATTAACATTTTTACTGTATACATTATATAAATTTGATATTTAGATACTTTTATAATATTTTTACTGTATACATTATATAAATTTGATATTTTATACTTTTATAGCATTTTTACTGTATACATTATGAAAATTTGATATTTTATTCTTTTATAGCATTTTAACTGTATACATTATATAAATTTGATATTTTTAGATACTTTTTCAAAGAAATAAAGAGTTTTTGGGAAGGTGGTTCCGGAGCCAAGATATTATCCATTTTTGAGCAGGATTTGGAGACATCATGTATGCTGAGGTTAAAAGAACACATAACCTTACACTTGTTCTTAACAGACCCTCCAACTGGGGACTATGGTTACTATGCTGATTTGAGGTAAACTCTAAACATTTCACCTCTAATATAAAATAATCTCAGTGGTTACTATGGTTACTATGCTGATTTGTGGTGAACTCTAAACAATATACCTCTTATAACAAACCATATTAGTGGTTACTATGGTTGCTATGCTGATTTGAAGTAAACTCTAAATATTTCACCTCTAATAACAAACCATCTCAGTGGTTACTATGGTTACTATGCTGATCTGGGGTGAACTCTAAACAGTATACCTCTTATAACAAACCATCATTTGTGGTTTCTATAGTTACTTTGTTGATTTTCATGTAAACACGTGCACTCAACAGTGCACCTGTTGGTAACAATCCCTCTGATTGGTTTATATGGATTTTATGCTGATGTCAGGAGCAAAACTTAATACCTGTTGAAATAAAACATCTTAGTGGTTGTTATTATTTCCATGCTGAATAGAAATAAAGAGATGAGGTATGATAGCCAATGAGACAACTATCCATCAGAGTCCAAATACATGGATGTAAGCAAATACAGGTATTTGATAGAAAAAATATCATTCTTGAATGAAGAAAAATAAATAACTAAATATGATTTTATTGAAATGAAATTGGCTATTATTGATAAGTCTATTGAATGGTCATACCCCAACATTCCTGCATGTCCATGGGATGGTCTTTTTTTGTGTTTAAAGAAAGTCTCACTTCAAGAATTACAACTTTTACCACTCAGAATAAATGTTACACAAAATAGATATATATATGAATGCAAATCTTTATCACAGTCAAATGTTGCTGTTGCTTTATTTTGTTAACTTCTGTAATTGACCTTATTAACCTTGACAACCCTTGTACACCATTATCTGAGGAGAAACTTTTGTTATCTTCTGTAATTGACCTTATTAACCTTGACAGGCCGTGTACACCATTATCTGAGGAGAAACAACAGTTAGTGTTACAAGGAGCTCACTTCCCAAACTTTGCTGAAGATTTACCTGGCTGGTTTAATACCAAGAATGAAGATGGTTAGTGTAACTATTGTAATAATTTATTGAACACTGAAATAATATGTTATTTTATTTTCTATCTGATTGTCCATATGAGTTTTTATACGACTGCAAAAATTTGCGGCTGTATAATGGTATTGCAATGTTGTCGTCCAAAGAGATTTGGTTTTTAGACAATAACTTGAGAATTAGTGTATAGATCACTATGAAATTGTACCACAAGATTCCATACCACAGAAAAAAGCTTGGGATTGATTTTGGGGGTTATGGCCCAAACCATTTAGGAATTAAAAACAAGATTTTCTGATTTTCTGGTTTCCAGACAATGACTTGAGTATAAGTCTATGGATCTCTATGAAATTGTACCACAAGGTTCCATACCAAAAAAAAGGAAGGTTGGGATTGATTTTGGGAGTTATGGCCCTAACCTTTTAGGAACTAGGGCCAAAAAAAGGGCCCAAAACAATACTTTTCTAATACTTTGTAGTAATTGCTTATTTCTTGACAAATTTCAATGTTTTAATTTAAAGTCTTGAAATCTTGGGGTTCTTTAATATGCTGAATCTAAACATGTATATAGATTTTGGATTTTGGGCCCAGTTTTCCAAGTTGGTCCAAATTGTGGTCCAAAATGAAACTTTTTTGTTTGATTTCAACAAAAATTGAAAAATGGGGTTTTGATATGCTGAATCTAACCATGTATTTAAATTTTTGATTTTCGGCCCCATTATCAAATTGATCCACATAGGGTTCAAAGGGTCCAAAATTAAACTTTGTTTGATTCAACAAAATTGAACTTTTGGGGTTCTTTGATATGCTGTATCTAACAGTGTATTTAGATTTTGGATTTTGGGCCCGGTTTTTAAATTTGTTCTCATTAAGGTCCAAAGGGTTTAAAATTAAAGTTAGTTTGATTTTAACAAAAATTGAATTCTTGGTGTTCTTAGATTGATTGATTGATAGGCGTTTGTTTGACGCTGCCTCAGCACAAAAAGCCTATATTGCAGCGATGGGGTTCATTGATATGCTGAATCTAAACATGTATTTAGATTTTTGATTTTGGGCTCATCATGCTCATGGGATCCAAAATTTTTGTTTTTATTTCAACAAAAATTGAATATATGGGATTCTTTGATATACTGAATCTTATTGTGTATTTAGATTTTGGATTTTGGGTCCCATTATCAAATTAGTTGACATTGAGGTCCAAAGGGTCCCAAATTAAAAAATTGAAATCTCGAGGTTCTTTGATATGCTGAATTTAACAATGTCTTTAGATTTTGGATACTGGACCAATATAGGTAAATGTTTAAATTTTAAAGTTCTTAGACCTTATTTATTCGGTGTCAGAAACCTATAATGTGTCAAATATTTAATCACAATCCAAATTCAGAGCTGTATCAAGCTTGAATGTTGTGTCCATACTTGCCCCAACTGTTCAGGGTTCCACCTCTGTGGTCGTATCAAGCTTTGCCATGCGGAGCATTTTATTCATAGTTATTGTTTAATTTGTAGTCTCCTGAATATGCATTATTTTCAGCAACTGAAAATTAAACAACAATTAATCAATCACATGGTCATTACTCTACCTTATGTAACAGTGGAAAGAAGAATATTGAAGGTTGTAACCTTTTACAGGTATATATCTCCATGGCAATCAGAACTCTAAATAAATCTGGTTTTTCATTGACAAAAGTATAAAAAAAAACTAAATTCTAGAATGCTAATGCTAAACAAATTCTAAAATTTGATGATCTAGAGTTGTCGCTCTTGTTTTATGTTTTCTCTCTTTGATATTTACAGGTGAAGTTTTACCAGTAGAAGAGGACCAAGAACCCCGACAAACTATGGCTGATCTAAGTGGTGATCATTCGTTATTACTGATGACGTGTAGTGATAAACTGTTACTGTGGAATGTTGTGGGTGTCCAAGGGGCACTATTTAGTAACTTTTTACAACCCACATATGTATCTTCCATTACTGTAGGTTAGTTTAACAGGTAGAAGTTCTTTTAAAAAGATGTAGTGAAAAAAAATCTTGCATGAGAATTATTTAGTATAAATTTCAATCAATTTATATCATTAAAAATCTACAAAAACTAATTAATAATATCAGTTTGTAAAACTTGTAACTTATCAAAATCAAAACATTTGACGAGTTTAAGGTAAAATAAGCATTGTGTTGATTGATAATGAAAAAGTCAGATGATCCTGAAAAAATAAACAAGATGGACGTCAAATCTTATAACATATATAATTCTTTCACTATAATTTTCGCCTATAATTTTATTTTTTCATCACAAGTTTACTTTTTTTCGCAAATTGCAATAAAGTTGACGTCCGGCAGAAACCCTGCTTGTAAGTTATTATTTTGTTCTGTAATAATTCTAGAACTGATGTATTTACGATGAAGGTTTATAGAGTTGTTATTTTTCCAAATAAAAAATACTAATTTTCCTTTGATATGAATTTTATATTAATTGAGCTTTTGTGTCAGGGGTGAGAGGCCAGTTGCTCATTCCGTGGCTTCATATGTTGAACTGCATACAATTCAAGTCAAAGAACACTAATACATGAAATATATTTTTAGGTCGTCAGTATGATCATGGACATTTCTCACGTGCTGTGTGTTGTCGTGTGTATGATGTCCTAGAAAAGGACCTTCCTAAGGGATATCGCATCAATCATCCAACCTTGACAACTTTGTCGACTCCATATCAACACCATGATGAAACTTTAACACATTTGTGTATGGACTGGTCAGTTGAGGACGAAGTGGAAGTCATTGATGGTCTGGAAGGTAGAACTGATCATATGTAAGTATTTAGTTAATTTTAATTACTGAGGATTCAGTTATTTTCGTGGGCACAAATTTTCGTGGATTGAGGGAAAAATTGTTTTTTTGTGAATATTTGATTTCATGGTTTTGCCAAAGTCTGCAAACATGCTTAAAGAAAATGTATACTTAATTTGTGGTGCACCTTTACAAAAGAAATCCCATGAAAACTGTTACTCAACAAATATAATGAATCCATGGTATACCCCCAACTCACAGAGGGTTTGTTATACTGCAATCACCTTAACTACAATCCCTTTGTTCATTACTTTTGTTGCATATTATTCAGCTATTGTAATAAGAAAGGATTAAATATTTTGACCGGAACAGTATTATTTTGATTTTTACAGTCATTTTCAGATCTACTTGACAGTCACTGCCTGGTTGTCAGTACATTTAACTATATACACTGAGCATGGAATTAAATAAGGAGTGGGTGTGTATTTGCACTACATTGCCTGGTACTCCTTATATGTACTACCTCGTTGATGATGAAATAGTTTTTGATGTATTATATGAATATACTCAATGGAAACCTTTACAAGCACTTCTTAATATATAAAAAACCACTAGTTGGGAATAAAGTTGTTTCAGATTACAACACAAAGAAAACAATAGTGAAAGTGATACAGATATTCAAGCGGAAACAATGATAATGCTTGTCAGAGTCTCATATTTTCCGAATTCTTAGCCTTCTTGTTTTTATGTCAGTCACTACTATTGTCAATATATATGACCATACCTAAAAAAATAATTACACATATGTACTTTGCACATATTTATATATATACATGTATTATGTACAATGTGTGTACCATATCTACATGTCTTTTACAGATCTCCCCACAAAGCTGGAGCCTCAAAAGCAAGTCGTCTATGTAAGGCTGGGTTTCTTCATAGATATAAAGAATTAGCTAAATTGACTTCCCAGCATCAACTTCTACAAGTGCCTACGTACTCAGCAGCCAAACAGATGAACAAAAACTATCAAAGAGCCAAACAGGCATTCAGAAAACATTGTTATGACATAGGAATTGGAAATTGGGTCGCTAAACCAGTAGAAGTTGATCAATTCTCCAAGTGACTCTACAGAAGATTGTCAATTACTTACACAAACAGTCTTTCAAGTAATCATTAAGAAATGGAATGGATCATCAATCATGTGATCACCTATCATGTAATCATAAATCATGTGATCAATAATCTTGTGCTCATTCATCTAGTGCTCATTTATCCATTGATTATTGCAAATGTTATGAAGTGCCCCATGGTTGTCTGATTGTTTTTATTGACTTTGTATTTTCTGAGATTTTCAGGCAAATTATGACAGCATTTATGGGACTTCTTAATTTGTCTGTAATATTCTGGTATTTGTTGATATTATCCTGCATTTTTGTTAAGTGCAAATATGCAATGTTATCAACATTAGGCAAATAATCCAGCCATTGAAGATTGGTGCTATGGGCAGTCTTGAACTTGCAGTTAATCATGAGAATTTGCTCTGAGTTGGAATGCCTAATTGTGACCTTCAGATGAAGAACAGCAATATAAGCACAATTTCTAAGCAATGGGTTTGTCAAGTGTTCGTAGGAACTTTGTTTTATTCTTTGATTCACCATATTCTTTCTGTTACATTGATTTTAATCATATGAGTAATCTGTTGCATTTAGTTCATTTTTCTTTAATGTTTTGCAAAGTATTTGCAATTTAAAGCTGTATATTTCTTAAGTTCTTAAGCATACTTTTTTATAAATGAAATTTAGAGCTGAAAAGTGATACTTGAAATCAATTATGTATTAGAATATTTGATTTTTAACCGGATTTTCAAAGTAAAAATCAGTTATTGATTTGGCGATGTACGGCGGGTGGGCGACTGCCAAGCAGTGTCCGTTCATTTACATGAAAACGCTTTGAAGAAATTTTTCAAATTAAGATATGTTTGGCCCTGTGTTTAAATGAAGGTCAAGTTCAGTTTTCACGATTTAAGCTTTTCTCATTAGTCAGATATAGCCTTTTTCCAAGAATTCAAATTTTTGATGAATTAATCCATTTCTGTATGAAGGGAAATAACTCATTTTTAAAAAGATTTTTAAAAGACATTGTATTATTGATAAATGACATTTTGGATTTTTTTTTACTTTTCTTTGGTAAATTGTTTGAACAATTTTGTGGTAGGTTTGTTTGTTATTCTGTATAAACTAATTGTCTGAGTGTGTGTTATTTTAATTTTTACTTGATCCTTTCCAGATTTGCAAATTCATTACACAATAATCTATTTGTATTAAAGGATATATTTCATTACATTACATTGTGTAGATAAAGTTGTAGAATTTCATAGATAAGTTACAGATCTTTATTAGTTAGTTACAAATGAAAGAAAAAAAATATCGGGAACTATTAACTATATATATAAAGTTTGATTACACTAAGTGTTTTTAAATGATTTTCACCTTTTATCAAGATAACACACCATCTGGTAATTGTCAATCACCCAATTATAATTGTAGTGACAGATTTATTTGAAAACTATTAATTATATTGGGTTATAATTTGAAAATAAATATAACATAATATCTAATTACATCATATCTAATTCTAGAGAACTATAGTTAAAACATATCTAATTTTAATTTTACATTATTGGTTCCTGGAAATAAATTTCCCTTTGAACAGAGATGGTTTAACTAAGAAGTATTTCATCAAAAATTGAATTCTTGGGATTCCTTGATATGCTTATTCTAGCAATGTACATAGATTTTGGATATTGGACCATAATAGGTAAATGTCCAATTTCAATTTTTTCAATTCTTTGATCACAAACCTATGCTGTATCAAATATTCAATCACAATCCAAATTCACAGCTGTTTTTAAGTTTAAATGTTGTATCCATACTTGCTCAACTGTTCAGGGTTCGACCACTGCAGGAAAACCTGGTTTGCTGTCTCTCTGACAGCCTCTTGTTCAGTGTTCAATATGAACTTATTGGATTAAGTTTCATTTAAATGCAAAGAATGTTGATTAATAATGTACGATAAATTGCCCTAATACTCACGATAAAGAACTTTATTAGGTCTCGTGATTTATTCTTGCGTTATCCTCCATCAAAATGATGTTACTGACGCATGTAAACTAAACAGCAAGGTTAGAAATCTGTCCAGTGACAAAAGAATCAAGTATTGGAAATCCATCTGGTGCCGAGAATAGCATTCACAAACAGCCCTTTTCAGGGCCATCAATATATTACAGAATAAGTCCACTTTTGTTGTACATACGAGACATTTTAAGACTCAAAATAATTCTCTGACATAAGTGTTTTGACAACTTGTTACTAGTCCTACAGTAAGAAATGTGCAAGAGCTTCTATAACATGTATTTTCAATGTTTCCAAAAGGCCATTCTACTATTAGTTCGATATAGGTAAACAAATGTGGCCTCTTAGAATAGGTGCATATCCAAGATTGTCAACCTTTAAAACTTAAAGAAAAAAATATTATATCATACCATTTTTTCATACATATATAAAAATACAATATGTCTCTGGTCATACGAAAAAAAAACCAACAATTTTAACACATTTCGCGTAATACATGTACACACTTCCATTTTTTGACACCTTTTTGAACCAAAAACTGGAAGCTAATATCCTGTATTCATAAAATTTTCTTAATCTGTAGTAACATATGTTTGTTCTTTGTCAAATAATTAACAGGTTTTTGTGCATTAAACCTGTATTAAAGACTAGTTCTGAGACACATGGAATTGAATTGATTGACAATTTATAATGTAAGTCATTAGTTAATAAAGGCATTTTATTATATACCAATGGATTATATTGATATTTTTCATTTAATGTTTTGCAATAATATTTGCAATTGAAAGGTGTATATTTTTGAAGATTTTATTCTTTAGTATATCTTTTTTAAAATGAAATCAAAACGGTTATAATGCATACAATCAGTATGAGTTAGAACAATTCTTTTAGTATTTTTTTGTCCTTTAAAACGGGTACAAGAGGGGATTTGCTTAGATATTTGTTAAAAAGCAATAAAAGGAGCACCCCTGTCTCGCCCCCTCACAATGTCAAAACTATAGGTGGAAATATTTTGGATTATGCCCTGTCTACTGTTCAGGTTAAAGTTTTGGTTTAAGGTACATTTTTGTAGTTTACCATGAGTTCATGGACATGTCAACTTGAATCTTAGTTCAGATGTTCATTATAATATGGACTTATATTTTAAATATGTGCCAAATTGGTGCCGTGACCCAGATTTTGCAGTTCACCAAACATAAAATGTGATAGTGGGTCATATGGATGCATATTCTTGTTTTTAATATTTTTTTTATAGTGCAATAGTAAATAGAAATTAGCTTGTGATTATTTTATTAAAAAAAAGGTTGTTTACATCAGTTTGAAAATTCTATAGAATGCAGTGAACATTAAGAGGAAGGTTACTCATTAATTTGCAATAAACTGTATGCAAAATTAGGTGTTGTTATCTTTTATGAGCAGATTGGATACAGTATTTCATTATTTCATTATTATTTGAAAAATTTATATCTATATTTCTGTTCTCAAAATTTGTTATGGAAATATCTTATCAACTGGTGTTTGAGTTGGTCTTTATGAAATAAAGCTATAAACTGTTAATCGCAACATTAATACCATGCAATTATTCCATACACAAAATATAGTTGACATATAGCTTATAGTACCTAAGAAACATACATAACCATGAAAACTTGATATTGACCAATGAACCATGAAAAAAGGCAAAGGTCAGACAAAACATACCAGACTGACATTAAAATTATTCAACCATTACTTCTTAAAGATGTAGTCAGGTGAAATTTTAAAACATTGATACTTCATATCAGAAGAGCATTAGTTACGGAACAAAATAAGCTATGGCGGGAAAAGGCTAACTTGCACTTTTACCTTATATTTACATTGGCATTATTTGGGTCTAAAATTGTAAGAAAAGAAATCTATAATCTGTTTAAATTTTGGTATTTGACCTTTTATGAGCTATTGAAGTCTTGTATGAAAAGAAAAGTAGGTGTTATGGGGTAAAATATTTTACCCTGTACCTTAGGAAAACAAGAGTGCACACGCTGAAATGTCTCACCTGCTTTACAGACCATTGATTTTATGTTGATAGTCCTAAATATAAAGCTTTACTACAAGTATCACATAAACTTAACATGATCCAAGAAAATGAGGTCAAGGTCAGATAAACCAAACCGAAAATACATATTCACCTAACAATCATTCCGTACACCAAATATAGTTGACCTATTGCTTATAATATGTATAGTTTCTTAGAAAGGAAGTTAACCAGGAAAACTTAACATTGACCAATGAATCATGAAAATGAGGTCAAGGTCAGATGAACCATGCCAGACAGACATGAACACTGTACAATCAAGCTATGCATTAAATATAGTTGACCTGTATTGCTCATAGTATCTAAGAAACAAACTTAACCATGGAACTTAACATTGACCAATGAACCATGAAAATGAGGTCAAGGTCAGATGATACCTGCCAGACAGACATATACACCTTACAATCATTCCATACACAAAATATAGTTGACCTATTGCTTATAGTTTAAGAAAACCCAAAACATACAAACATAAGATAGAGCAATGAACCTTGAAAATGAGGTCAAGGTCAAATTAAAGCTGCCAGACTGAGATGTACATCGTAAAATATTTCCATACACCTAATATAGTTGACCTATTGCATATAGTATTAGAAGAAATTCGTAAGGGTTCCACGGAACCCAATGTCTCGCCTACTTTTGCTGTTCATCGCAGGCTCAACAAAAATGGGGAAAAAATTATCAAAAATTTTCCTCTAGATACTATCTTTTGATTGTAAGAAGCTTCTGTTCAAGTTTGGTAAAAATCCAAGAAGGTTTATGAATCTAATAAATGTTTCAAAACTTTAACTGCAGACTGTACCTAATGTTAACTGGAATAAAAATAAGTCCATTTATAAGTAATATACGTAAAAACAGGAAATAAATTTAAACAAAATTTCCTTCTAGATACTTAGCTTTTGGTCATAAACAAGCTTCTGTCCAAGTTTGGTACAAATCCAGGATAGTTTAAGAAAGTTATTAAAATTTTGAAAGCTTTAACCACAGAGTGAATGTA